TGTGGAGTCGACGATCATTTTCGTGACTGTACTCACTAAAAGGGAAAGAAGGAAGGAGAGTGAGGAGGATTTCTGAAGGAAAGAGATTGAGGAGGATTTCTGAAGGAAGGAGAGTGAGGAGGATTTATGAAGGAAGGAGAGTGAGGAGGATTTTTGAGTGAGGCCAGAGTGCAAGGGTGGTTCACGTAGGCGAAGGGACAGGGAGAATCATAGTCAGTGAGAAGAAGAGAAGAGAGAGAGTGAGAAAAAGTCATCGTGTGTACGAATTGTGGAGTCGGCGATCGTTTTCGTGACTGTACTCACTAAAAGGGGAAGAAGGAAGGAGAGTGAGATGAATTTCTGAAGGAAGGAGAGTGAGGAGGATTTCTGAGTGAGAACAGAGTGCAAGGGTGGTTCACGTAGGCGGAGGGACAGAAAAAACCATAGTCAGTGAGAAGACGAAAAAGAGAAAGAGTGAGAAAGAGTCAACAAAAGAGAAAAGGAAAAATGAAAAAACAGTTAGAACTGCATTCGCCTTTCTTCCCTCGCTCTGCTTCGATGTTGTTGGCCAGTAGGAGTACGTGAGAATCGAAGGTGGGGAGAAGATTGGTGAGTGAATTGGGTGAAGGCGGGAGCGCATGGGTGATTCACGTAGAGAGGAAATTACCAAGAAAAACTGCAACTACCTGTTAGTGGCGGTTCTTTTTCACTCAGAAGGAGCTTATGGACTTCGAGGGCCATAACCAGAGGTTCGTTAACGTGAAAAATCAGTGAGTTACTTCATCTTGTTTTCTCTTTTTTTTTATCCTTTCTTTATTTGTTTTTCTTTGTCTGCTACTTTACGTTTCTTTCTCTCTTTCTCTTTCTCTCTCTCTCTCTCTCTCTCTCTCTCTCTCTCTCTCTCTCTCTCTCTCTCTCTCTCTCTCTCTTTCTCTGTCTCCCAGTCGTCGGTCATTCTAGACTAGCCGTGCTGCATCAGGAGGGCCACTTGGATGTCCGGTAAAGAGGGACCCACAGAGGCGACTTATGCCTAAGATGCAGGACAAGGACTTGGGCCTGCGAGCAGGACTATTGATCAGACTCTAGATCAAATGGTCCTGATTGCAGAACGAGGGTAACTGAGCCAGGCCCAACGGTATATAGCTGGGCTAGGCCTTCAGTTTGATGAAAGAGTGTTGGACCAGCCACACAAGTTGATTCAAATGGCGTTGGGCAAGAGACGTACGTGTAGTCGACATGATTCTTGCTGATACAGACCAAGAAGCACAAGTTGACAATATATATTGGACACTCACGAACGTACACGGAACTACACACAACGACATCCTATCGCTACTACGGAAGGGGACTATATACGATTACGACGAAGACCTTGCTATGCCAGTCATCGGAACTCTATTAACATTCAACCAAACAACAGGTCACAAAATTCATTAATGGAATGATATCCGGTATCCATGTTTCAATGTCAATACAAGATCAATGGAACCTGCTCCATCGAACAGAATTGCACAACATAATGTGCAATCGACATCAAATTATCATATTTCATCTACAAACAATTCGACTGCGACTACTTCAAATACTCAACAAGATCAAGATGGAACATCATAAACTACAAGGTAAGAAACACGAAAATCAAATAAAACCACATACTATTTTTTCTCACTTATTTTATATCATCATTTTTCTCCATAATAATATTTCAAAATGAAAAACTTGCACCTAACATATCTACACACATCCTATTTAATCCAAATCCAACAAATTAATAAATTAACCTTATTTCAAATATTTTTTTCCCTAATACACATATACATTTGTTTCTTGTTTCTTCATATGGTTTATTTTTTTTGCAGGTGCTTATTCTTATTCATCACTCACACATTATGTCAATCCTTCACCGATCTTTCAACACTCTTCGCATATACTTACAACAACATAATCTCCATCAGGCAACCAAAATCAATCAAGAAGGCATTGTTGTCTCTTACTTTGCATACCACTCCACAACTTTTATTTCTTTATATATCTTCTTAGCAGACGCCATACCATTACGAACAAACTTTCAAAATCTTCGTATTGCAATCATCGACGACATTATTTGTCTTCTTGATGTTCCTCATCCCGGAACAAGAATTATACTAACTAATACTACTCATCATAGATTCATTTCTACATCCCTTATAGCTTTCAATGCATCTTTCACTTTCATATATATATTAAATTAAACTAAGACAATATAATACATATCTTACAACATACAAAACATTATACTTTCATCTTTATACCATATAACTATATAAAACATCACATTCTTATCTCCATACTATAACTATAAATAACTCATTTGTTTTTTTGTCATATTTCATAGCAGATAAAAAGTAATGTCGGACGCACCTTCAAGTTCAAGCAAACACCTGGAGCACACAATGCGACATGAACGATACATACGTCACACGAAAATTATGGACCTCGAACGATATCTTCGTGTCCTTCCTATGTATCAACCAACGCCAATCGCAGAAACTGGACTTCTGGTACACCATCAAAGGTGGAGACGAGGATGACAAAACATGGTTACAATATATTTGGCGGATACAGATCAACCGGAAACTGTCAACGACATCCATGTAGCACTCAACACAAAATACATGGACACATAGAAAGATTTGGTTCCATTACTACGAAGAGTTGCAGTCTACAACTACAACGATGACTACGACATTCCAATCATAGGAACAACTATCAAATTTGATTACACTTCTAATTATCATAAGTCATTAGAACATCGAGGACTAACATTCGATACTGATTTTCAACATATGACACCACAACCCCTTCACATCTATACATTACCACTTCGACCAAACACACCTCCCAATTCTCATTATAAAATTCAATAAAAATTAAATTCCTTCGCACTAACGTGAACATATAAATTAGTATTTTTACTTAGTTATTCATTTCAATAGTTTCATATAACCCAATAAAACAATACAAAAAACAATGCATAAAATAATGATGTGTAACACTAGCTATTCTAATCCAATAATTAGTAAACCCTATGACAATGATAGAGAGTGTTTACCGTACTGTTGTTGACTTTTATACTTTAGTGGTTAATAAGTATACTGATTCTGGTTCCTTAATGACAATTAACATAGATAAAGGCAAGAAGAGAAGTTGTATATGTTGAATAATTATTAAGGGACCTATGAATGCAGTCCCCTACCACACACATGACATGCTAATTTGTAGAATTTGATATTAATCTCATATAACAAGGAGATTGTCGTTTATTCTCCTCTTTCTTCATACTAAATAGTACCTTGTTTGATAAGCATCAAAATTTAATATTAATGTTCCAGGGGCTTTAATATCCCGATATCTTGCATTTTTTTTAATTTCTGTATAATACAAAAAAATAAAATACAGTGAGACGAAGGTTCGACAAAACTCATCTATATTGATTGACATTAATCTAAGATGACTAGAAGATTATAATCTAGTTTCCTCTTCCTTCAGACTAAGGAGTACCTTGTTTGATAAACATAAGAATTTAGGATTAATATTCCAGTTGCTTTTACATCCCAATGTACCAGTTGTTCTTTTGTCTTTTTATTTTTTCCTTCTTCTCTCTCTTGCAGTTTGTTTCATTTCTGTACAATACCAAAAAACCAAATACAGTGACACGCAGGCTCGACAAAACTCGGTCTAATACCGGTTGTTTAATGCTACAATATCTCCAGACCAAACCCACGTTCCAGTTTTTGCAAAAAAAAATAAAACCTCGCTACAACTATATCATGCTTTTCATCACACAATAATTTGATAATATTTTTTACTTTTTTATTCCTACCCCCTGGCTGCGCCGCGGGTCCACTAGTATTGAGATTGAGATGAGATGAGATGTAGTAGGGCGTCCTAGTGTGCTGGTAGCCTTGAGAATCTCGGAGGAGGAGCTGCTCTGAGGAGCTGACAGTGGTTTCTCTTTTCCCCACCTTGTCGCATTTTCTGGTTGGAACTTGCGCCGTTCGTACCCGGGACAGCTTGTGACAGGTACAAGGTGCACTTTACTTGTTCGCAGCCCGTAGGAGCTGCGTTTACCATCTTGGATTTTTGTCGTTTTGTGTCGATCACGTTGGTGGTAGTTGGCTGTGTACTGGTAGTTGGGCGGCAGGCGGTCGTTGGGAAGGTGGCAGGATGAAGGGAGAGGGGTTAGAGTGGCAAAGAATCCGTTTGCGACCCGAAGTTGTGGGCGGCGGCCGGAATTTTGATGATCAGCCTTCGAAGACCGGTAGGCTGTGCAACTGGGGTGGCAAGGGGTTTGAGGGGTCTTGTGGGCTTGTGGGCTTGGGTTCGATGGAGTCGGATCGGATCGGATCATGTGGAGTAAGGATTCGGCGGTGTGAAGGATGCGGCAGAGTGTGGATGTAACGGCATGAGAACGGCATCGGAAGTGTCTGCCGGATCTTTTGAGTGGGTGTGAGATCCGGCGGCGGTCCACTGCTCAGTAAATGTGCAAAATGAGAATGAATATACCCATGGAACATGGCAAGATACACTGCCGTGTTTTTGGTCCTTTTTCCGGTGTAAAGGATCCGGAGGAGTGTGGATGTAACGACATGATACCGGCATCAGAAGTGGCTGTCGGATCTTTGGAGTAGGTGTGAGATCCGGCCTCGTTCCACTGCTCAGTAAATGTGCAAAAAGATAATGAATATACGGCTGGAACATGGCAAGATACACTGTCGGGTTTTTGGTCATTTTTCCCTTTCTTTTTTTGGTCCTTTTCTTCTTGGAGCAGGAGTAGATGTGGGAGGCCGAAATTTTGGCCCTGCCATTGAAGACCGGTTGCTTTGGGGTGCTAACTTGCCAAGGGCTCTGAGGAGGCTTGTGGGATTGTTCGCGGCCCGTGGGAGCAGCGTTTAGACTAGATGTGAGAGGCCGAAATTTGGGCGTCCTGTCATTGAAGACCGGTCGCGTTGGGGTGCCAAGGGCTCTGAGGAGGCTTGCGGGGTTGCGTGTTTCCCGTCGGACGGATGCAGTGGAAGTGGATCGGAGGTCGACGTAAACATGACGGCATCGTTGGATGTAAGCGGACGCAACGTCATCGTAAGCGTTCGTCGGATATCTGGAGCAGATGTGAGATCGGGCCGGTGGGTGTACGGACGTTACGTCGTCTCGTCGGATCTCTGGACTAGATGTAAGATCCGCCCTCGCTCCCTTGCCTGAGTTCTTTTTTAGTTGGCGTGTGTGGCTCGGTTCACTGGCCGTATCTTTTCTTTTTTTTTATCTGTTTTTTGCTGACTACAAAGCCTATGTTCTTTTTTTGTTGGCGTGTGTGGCTCGGTTCCAGTGGCCGTATCTTTTCCTTTTTTTTGTCTGTTTTTGGTTGACTGCAAAAAACAATCTGTTTGATTCGTGACGTGTGGTGTGACGTCGTCATCGTGACATCAGGGGTATCTTCGGAAAAAAGAAATAACAAGACAAGATTAACAGAGTGTTTATGTTTAATCTGTGCGCGGTGAAATTTCCACGTCGTTTCTTTGTTATTGGTTATTTCATGTTTTTGTTTTTTTTCCTTGCGCAAGGGGCCATGCCGATCTTCTCTCCGCGGAAAAAAAAATCTCTCAAACGAAAAAAAAAAAGTGTAAAAAACAAATCCTCGGTCTGTGCATGTTTGTGGAGAGGTGCGCACTGACAAGTTGATGAGGCGAGATAAAAATGTATGAGTCGTCCTTGGGCAAGGGGCCATGCTGATCTTCCCTAAGAAAAAAAAAAGGAGAAAAAAAGGGAAAAAAAAAGGATAAAAACAGGGAAAAAAAGAAGGAAAAAACGATCATCTATGTACCGTTCCAGGTTTGACGGACGTTGTGCATGCTGGTCTTCTTTCGGTCGGGGAAAAAAAAGGGGAAAAAACAGGGAAAACAATCTGTTTGATTGGTGGTGTATGGTGTGAGAGCATCATGGTGACGTCAGGGGTATCTGTGGGAAAAGGAAATAATAAGAAACGGGGTGTTTAATCTGTGCGCGGTGACATTTCAACGTCAACATCGTTCCTTTATTACCTTTGTTATTTGTTATTTGTTATTTCATGCTTTTGTTCTTTTCCTTGCGCAAGGGGCCGTGTTGCTCTTCTCTCCAAAAAAAAAAGAAATATCTCAAAAAAAAAAAAAAACAATGAAAACAAATCCTCGAGCTGTGCATGTTTTTGTGCAGAGGTGCGCACTTAAAAGTTGATGAGGCGAAATAAAAATATATGTGTTGGAAAACAATCTGTTCGATTCGTGGCGTGTGGTGTGAGATCATCATGGTGACGTCAGGGGTGTCTGCGGGAAAAAGAAATAATAAGAAACGGGGTGTTTAATCTGTGCGCGGTGACATTTCAACGTCGACGTCATTCCTTTGTTACCTTTGTTATTTGTTATTTGTTATTGCATGCTTTTGTTCTTTTCCTTGCGCAAGGGGCCGTGCTGATCTTCTCTCCCAAAAAAAAAGAAATATCTAAAAAAAAACAAAAAACAATGAAAACAAATCCTCGAGCTGTGCATGTTTGTGGAGAGGTGTGAACTTAAAAGTTGATGAGGCGAGATAAAAATATATGGTTGTCGTCCTTGGGCAAGGGGCCATGCTGAAGGGAAAAGAAAGGGAAAAAAAAGCAAAAAAAAAAGGGAAAAGTTTTGACAGACGTTGAAAAGGGGAACAAAACAGAAAACACAGATCTTCTCATTTTCACTTTTTTTCTTTTTTGGGTGTACGGCTGAACCAGGTGAATGCTGTGTGTTTTTTTCTCTTTGTTTTTTTTCCCCCTTTGAACAACTGTTTTTTCCCCTTTGTAGCAGATCTGAGACTGTTTTCTCCCCATTTTAGTAGAGTTCTGCGATATTATGGGTGAATTTGTTGGCCCAGCGAACGGTCGTTACCCTTGCTACGGCTCAGGAAAGTGAGCTCTGTTTTGTTGGCACTTGATTTCTTTTTCTTCTTGCTTTTTTTTTTTTTTTGGCTGTCTCAGATATCATATCCGGGGTGATCGTCCACAGCTGCGGTGGCTTTTGTGAAGGACGTCGGCCGCGTTTCCGGGGTTGCGAATTTGGCGTCTCTTTTTTCGGTGGCCAGGTTAGCCAGCATGGAGAGTGGAAGGGATGGGCTGGCCGATTAGAGGGTGATGGGGTGGGGAGCAGCATTTGGATGGAGTGGATCATAGATTATATACATTAGATGGCGGCAGGGTCCCGATGGAGTGATGGGTTGGCGAGTGGCATTGAGCCATGGAGGGAATGTTTAAGATTGAAGGGATCGACCGATGGAGGGAAGGTTTAAGATTGGAGGGAAATGATGGAGGGAAGGGTTGATTGATGGTGGTAGAAGGTTTAAGATTAGAGGGAAATGATGGAGGGAAGGGTTGATGGTGGTATAGAAAGTTGAGTAATAAAGGAAAGGGTTGATGGTGGTATAGAACGTTGAGTAATAAAGGAAAGGAAAGGAAGGGTTGATGGTGGTATAGAACGTTGAGTAAAGGAAAGGATGTGGAAAAGGATCTGCATGTGGTGAACAAGGCGTGCACGTGGTCCTCTCGCATGAAAAGGATCTCTCAAACGTGATATTCCTTCGGTCTTCAGTTCTGCGTGATCGCACGTGTCTTCAATATAGAGTGAGCGCACATGGCGACTGGGAGGATGCGATGGGTGCATGGCGACAGTAGCATGACATTGTCATGGCAGCTTTATTATCCCTGTTTCTTCTTACGCCCATCGCCATTCCATGGAGGCGCATTGTTTATTTGCCGGCGGGG